TGTTATCACACACTTGAGCACATTCTTTAAAGTGTTCTCGTGAGGATGAGAAGGGTTAATCGGTAAGTGCTTGAACCGTTGCCTAACATTCAGCTATGAGGAGCCGGAGGAAGAAGGCCGGGCAATAGTCATCCTGGGGGCAACTCCCGGACTCTGTGGTGGAACAGTCATTACCAGGCATGACTGGGAAATCTGGAGTCCTCCAGAGAGAAGTGGTATCTGGAGGACTTGGATGGCAGACGGCCCCCATTAACGGTCAGTCAGCAAAGGCCCCCCTCCCAGGACCAAGAGAAGGGCCAGGCCTTCTCTCCCTGCACCCTTGGAGCAGCCAGACTCTGCCTCTCCCTCAGGCCCTTGCCCATGCCTGCTGCTGTCCTCCCTTGCCTTCTCCTGCTCATCCCTGCCTGGCCTCCTCCCCTTTTAAGGGCTGCTGCCCAACCCCGCCCCAGCCACCGTCATGGCCACTTTTTTAATCTCTTATTTCAGTGAACAGGTGTTTGTTGAGCACACACTGGGTACTAAAGATATGGCAGCCAAGGAAAGAAAACTGCCTGCCTTCCTGGAGCTTACAGTCTGTCAGGGGAGACAGACAATAAACAGCATAATTACATAAATTAGATAGGATACTAGAAGGTGGTAAGCGCCAAGGAGAAAAGTGAGGCAGTGGAAGGTGGGAGGGAATTGGGGAATGTAGGAGAAGGGTACAACTTAAAACAAGGTGAAAAGGTGACCTGTGAACAAGGTTTTGAAAGCAGTGAGGGAAGAGGTCATGCAGATACCTGCAGAAACAGCATTCCAGGCATACGGACCAGGAAGGGCAAAGGGCCCTGAGGTATGAATCTAGTCAAGGGCTCTGAGGCAGGAATGGGTCAGGCAAGTTCAAGGAACGTTAAGGAGGTCCAGGTGCCTGGAGCAGAGTGAGCAAGGGGAGAGCAGTTGGGGATGTGGGAGTGGGGCATAGATCATGTGGCGCCTTGTAGCCATTTTAAGGACTTTGGCTTTTACTCTGAGTTGGGAAGTCATTAAGGGTTTTAGGCAGAGAAGTGACATCATTGAATACAATATGTAATACTAATAATTTTAAGGGACCCCTCTGAATGCTGGTCTGAGACTGGGCAACCAGGAGGCAAGGGTGGAGTTGGGAAGAGCAGTAGAAAACTCCTGGAATAATCCAGGGGTGGGGCTGATGGCGCACTGGCCTGAGGTGGCAGCATGGAATGGTCAGATACATTTTAAAGGGAGAACTGATGGGATTTGCTGACAAACTGAATGTGGGATGTGAGAAAGGAGTCACGGATGACTCCAGGCTCCTTGTCTGAGTGACCAGAAGGGTTGGCGTTGCCATTGCCTGAGACGGAGAAGGCTGTGGAGGAGCGGGTCGGGCAGGGGGTGGTACTCAGGTTGGAACAGTGAAGTCTGAGACGCCCACTAGCTAAGCAGGCAGGTGGTAATGGGGCGGAGGTGGTGGGACATAGGAGGCTAGAGTTCGGGTTGAATGTAGGAGTCAGGCTGGAGCTCTAAGTATGGGGACCTTCAGGGGGCTGAAGGTAGTCAACACCGGGATCCCGGATGAAGGGGTAGAGGAGAGGTCAAAGGACAGAGCTGGGAAACAGGAAAACAACATGAAAAGGAGCAGCCAGTAAGGTGGGATAAGACAAGAGAGGGCAGAAGCCAAGACAGGACATGTTTCAAAAGAGGAGAGAGTGACCAGTTGTGCTGAAAGGTGAAAGAACAATGGGCACTCACAGCTGACCGCTGAGTTGGACTTAGGAGCTGTGGGTCATGACACAGTTTGGGTGACATGAGGGGTGGATGGTTTGCCCCAAGAGAGGGATGGAGATGGCAAGTACAGCCCATATTTCCAGGAGTTTTGCTGTGTGCGGAAGCAGAGAAATGGGGTGATAGATAGCTGGAGGTGGAGAGAAGGGATCAAGAGCAGATTTTTTTTAGGGCAAAAGAAATACCTCTATATTTGTATGCTAATGAGAATGATCCGCTGTGGGGGGGGGGTGGATTGGCAAAGCAATATTTACGCTAAATTGTGTTTTGCTCTAGATGCTCAGAGCACGGGTGGTTTTTGTTTTCTCCTTTGTGCTTTCCCCTATTTTCCAAATTATCTAACATGAATATTTATTAATTTTGTAATCAGAAAAAAGCCATTAAAATCCACAGAGCTGATTGCTCAAGTGAAGCTTTTCCATGGTGACTCATCCTAGAGAAAAAAAAAAAAAAAAAACTACACCAAAACCAAAAGGCTGAAAAAAACGGGGAGGTGAAGAAAAATTAAATGCAAATCGAGCTCACTCAGAATCAGATAATTTCTTGCCTGGCCCATTTTCTCAGCACCCTCCTTCCTGTCAGTCTCTCCCTGCTCCTGTCCCCAACTCAACATTGTCACTGTCAGAGGGATTTTTCTTAAATGCAAATCTGATCTTGTCAGAGCCCTCCGATGGCTCCCCCACGATTTTCGGGATAAAATCTCGACCTCATCACCCAGCAGAGGATGCCCTTTGTGATCTGGTCGGGTCTCATCGCCAATCGGGGGGGCCCCCTTCCCCTGCCGCCCCCCCCCCCCCCCCCGCCCTCGCCTGCTCTTCAGCCGCACCGTAATTACTGCCTTCTGAGAGCCGCGTGTCCTCGCTCCCATAGCAACCTGCTGCACTCCATCAGCACACTCATCCACTCCATTGTAATCACTGATTTACTCCCCTCCGCTCCCCACCCCCATGACACCGGTGCCCCTGGATACAGGACCAGAGTTCTTATCTTTGTATTTCCTGCACCTTGCACACGGTAGGTATCTCTGCACCAGTGGGTGGAATGAATGCACCCACCTCTTCTACCTCACGCAGCCCCATGATCACAGCTGGGGGGTGGGGGGTGGGGGCACCTCCCTTCCTCAAAAATCTCCGCCTCTGGCCAAAGCAAAAGCCCGCACCAAGGTTTTTCCCTCTCCCTCTCAGCCTGGTACTGTCCAGCAAACACACCTCCACTTCTTTCCTTCCCCCGCATCCATTGATTCAGCTAAAATTTATTAAGCCCCAACCGAGTGGCAGGTGCTCTCAGAGGTGCTAGGTAGGGTATAAAGAAAGACAACGGGCCTGATCCTGGACCTTGAGAGGCTCAGGAGAGGGGGCTCTGGAGACAAAGACCAACATAATAGCAAGGTCTCTGTCTGGGCATGCTCTTTCTGAACCTGCCAATAGAGTAATTTCTGCGACAGTTGAGGGCCCACCGTGCAAGAGAAACTATGCCAAACACCGCAGCTGAGAAGGTTTGGAAGAATCGGAAGAAATTCGGCCTGTGCATCAATAACTGAAACCTAAGGCTGGAGGCCAACAACCTGAGTGGTGCAAAGCCTTCCCCTCCTGTTAGCACCTCTGAGCTTTTCTCCTCCTGGACACCCTCCCCCTCATCACCACAAATCAACTCAACACAGCAGCCTCCCCCAGGGGCCCCCAGCTCCTCTAATCCAAAATGGGATCTTAAGTATGACCATCAGAGCTTGATGCAGTGCAGACAGAGGGAGTTGTTGGTGAAAATCCTGCCTGGCTGGGTGAGGGCTGAGAGTCCAGGGCATCTTACTAAGAGGGAGTAAAAAGCATTATCTCCCCCCCACCCCGAGGATTCCAGGCCCAGGATGACAGGAGGGGACAGGCTGAGGAGAATGGGGATGACAGCTCCAAAGGAACTGGTGGGCAGGCTCAGAGGTGCCCCTGGGGCCAGTCCTGATGTGCAGAAATCAACAGAAAATTTTGAGAGACCTCTTCATATCTGTTTGCCAAATCCTGAGGGGTTTCCAGGGCAAGCAGGGAAACGCAAACTTTAAAATTCAGGCTTGGGCTAAAGATGAGAAGTGAGTGCTATTTCTTTTGATGCGGCATCCTGTCTCGTCTGCGGGAGTTTCCCCATTTTGGTTTGTGGGGGATTAATTAGAGAAAGAGCCCACCCGTCCACGTTGAGCAGCAAACACATGTGCCTGATGAGGGATAAAGGTCTCTGAATGGACCTAAGTGGCCCAGCCCTGTGGTTGCCTGGGAAAGGAATGTTCCTAATGCGTTTATCCCCTGGCATGTGGTGTCAAGTCTGTGCGGCCGGGAGACTGGGTTCCCACACTCCCAGCCCTCAGAGATGGGCTGTGTCACAGTGTGGCTGGGGGGGCATCTAGGTGGCTACGATTCTACAGGCCCCCAACAGCATCTGCAGAGGGGTGCGGCCAGAGAGGCCTAACCGGCACGTGGCGCCCCCAAGAACAGCTGTAGGAAGGAGGCTCCCTGGGATATTTGTGAAGACAGAACAGTGGAAATAAAATGCCATGACGTTCAGAAAAGGCTCTGTAAGGTGTGCTGACCAGCGGGGGTGGGGAGCTTGGCATGGCCGGGAGGGAGGCTCCCTCTGCCCTACCCGAGGGCGGGTCTGCAGCCACCTCTCCCAGAGCTATTGCCCTGGGAGTGTCCTGCCTGGGAGAGGCGCCCAGGACTGAGAGCATTGCCGTACCGGTGTTGGGAGGGAAACCACAGCGGGTCCACAGTTAAGTTTCTTTCACCTCTTCCCACTTCTCTGGAGTGAAGGAACTCTCTGATACTGGATGGCTGAGACACCACAAGGACAGGAGGGACAGTCAGAAAAGCCAAGGGAGGCATCCAGAGCTGCTTTTTCCTCGTGCCTAGGAAGACCTGAGCTACCTCCTCCTGCCCCCTCCTCCCGGCTTTCCTCCTTGGCCGTGAGCTGCGAATCCCTCCCCAAGAGGACTCGCCCACAAGTGGCCGCCATTATCACACTAGGAGACCCTCCCCCTGTGGACTCTGTCCTAGATTTAAATATTCTCTGATAAGTGTGAGCTTTCATTCCTTCCATAGCCGGTTCACAAGAATGCAGATGGAACTCTAGAAACAAGATGTCCACTGTTAGCCCTGGCTTGTTTTCCTCCCTGTCGGGCCCAAACCAGAAAGGCATGTGGAACGGGGGCCCCTAGCCGCAGCCCTGGGGCAGGACCTCACCTGGATGTCCTTTATCATGATGCTGTAAGCAAGGCCGTGAGACTCCAGGTAAGCTTTGATGTCTTTCAGTTCCGAGAAAGGAACTCTCATATCCACAGGGAGGCTGGGCCTGGCTGGGTTACGCCAGAAGTCCACCTTGGTCACAAAGGAAAGGAAAATAGACACATTTATCATGCGTCCTTACTCACCATCCTCTAGGCACCTTAGGGAGCCAGGTGATCGTCTTCTCTTACATGGTTAAAAGGGCCCCAGTTCCAAAATGAGAACCCTAAAGCCAAGCAGAAAGACAGGGGCAAACAAACCAAATCCCCGAACTGAGCTCCCCTCCGTAATTCCAAGCACCTTCATCTCTCAGTCTCCCCGACACACTGCAACCTCACCTGGACCCCAAGAGCCCTACACAGTTGCTAAAAGTGAGACAGCTCATCATATGGGACATGAACATGGACAAGAACTCTGGTCAGAAGAGGGAGGCATCACTGTCCCCAAGCCCCAGAGAGGTGGGAGGCACCCAATCTGGATTCCCATGTCATCCAAATTTCCCAGTTTGTAAAACGGAGAGAACTGTTATAAAGTGTTATGCATCCTGGGAGAGAGGGGTACTCAAACAAACAGGGACAAGGGCTGCGGGCCACCTCCAGAAATATCTGGTTGTTTCAACAGCCCTCCAACAAAACTCTTCTATTCTAACAGTTGAAGAGAATGTTTTCCATCATGGAATACTTGCAGAGGACAATGTTCTTGGAAACAAATGCTCAGCCTGACAGGGACGAACCCAAATAAAACACAGGTTTGCCAAGCTAAGCCATTTCAGTTGGGAAACAGATGTGTCCAGGCTGCACTCAGCATGGCGTCCCACCAGAGACCTATGTGCTTCCCGTGTGGCTTTGGGACATTCCAGTCACTTGCGAAGTGGCCCCTGACGGGGTCTGCTCAACAGGCCCCCATCTAGGACAGAGGAGAAAGCCAAGAAGGGTCACCCAACCTTATGGGCGAGTGTTCCCAACCTTTCCTGAAGAGGAGCCACATGTGATTTTCCACAGTGTTGTGCTTTTTGGCAGAGCTGTCTGGCGGGCAGGCTTGGGGTGGGGGGAGCAGGCGAGGGGCTGAAGTTATAAACCGTCCCCCCCAGGAAAAAAAGTAGATATGCCAATAATTTTACACATAGTGCAAGCCACTATAAGAGAGTTCACAACGTGTTCCTCAGCCCTGAGGAGTCCTCACCTTCTGGGGCTTCAGGCCCTCCAGGTCCCTGAGAACTGAAAGCTGCTTCTCATTTTTAGCCAGGACTCGAAGAACCTGGTCTCTGGAAAGACACAGGGAGGGCAGAGGGAGCTGCGGAGAGGGCTTCCTGGAAGGCTGGGCTGCTTGGAGGAGGTGGAGTGAGAAGACACCAGGCCGAGGGCACCTGGCGGGAAGGCTGGGAGGCCAGAGGACCCTGAGCAGAAGGATGCGTAGCTCTGGGAAGCACACAAGTCCTTCAGCCTGGGATAGGGGCCGCTCCAGCCTGAGGACAGACCACCTAAAGGACTAAAGAAAGCCTGGCAGAGCTCCTGATGAACCCAGAGCCAAGACGGGGGAGGAAGTACGGGAAAGGAACTGCGGGGAATGGAGGAGGGCTGGAGAACAAAAGGAATGAAGGGGAGAAAGGCATAGATCCAGGGGACAGGGGAGACCAACTGTGGCCCCAAGTGCTCTTCATACAAGGGCCCGGGGCCGTGATCTGTCCAAACCCTGGGCCCTCTCCGGTCTTCTCTCAAGAGGTTGAGGACACGGAAGGGGAGATCAGCCTCATGCTACCTTTTGGGAAGAAGCTGAGCCCCTTCCCATCCTGTTGGAGGAGCTGTGACCTCCGGGGTCTGCTGCCTGGGATGGCGCCGGCTCCCTCCCTGGCTGGCTCAGACATCTGGGAGGATGAAGCCCCTCACTAACCCCCTCTCTGATCACCACTGTGGACATACCATGGAGTAGTCACCTTGCATGATCTTTGGGAGGCTGAGAAACAGGTCCCTAGAGGGCCTGGTGTGAGACACTAGGGCTTCTTGTTATTCACAGGGGGACAATACTGCATCCCTAGGGCAGGGAGACATAGTCTTCTGGCGGTTACTAACTTCTTTAAGAATCAGAGGAAAGTTATAAACCTTCCCCCCAGGAAAAAAAGTAGATAGGCCAATAATTTTACATATAATCAAGAATCAGGGGATTCATGGAGCCCTGAAAGCTTCCCCATGGGCTGCCGATTAAGAACTCACATGGGGAGGGACAATAACACAGCTGCTTGTCCTGCCCTTGAGCATGGGCATGGGAGATTATGGACCTGAATGGGAACTAAGGGACCGACTCCCTCCACTTTGGCCAGGTCCCAGTAGGACAGCCACCTCCCCCTTCCCCCCCACACACACACCTGGTCCCCAAGCTCTCCACAGCCACTACCCCCCGCACTAAAGAACAGCCACTCACCCTGTGAAATTCATTTGGCCCAAAGCTGCTGCCAGAATAAAGCTGAAGACCAGGAGCATCCACCTGTCCACAGGGGACGGGCCAGGGCCCACGCCTCCTCCAGGGGCGCCCTGCATGCTTCTTCCTTCAGGCGAGCTTCAGGGGCCTTCCTCGTGGGCAGGCATGGCCGAGGCCTCAAAACAACGCGGCACCTAAAGGCCGGCAGGCCCGGCCTGAGAATGGGCGTTAGGTTCCCTCGGGGGAGACCCAGCGTGTGACTCCCACACGCAGGGCCCGGGGAGAGCTAGGGCCACCCCTCCCCACTGCTAGGCCAATGCCCTCCTGGGAAGAGGAAAGAGGGAAAAAGGAAGACGAGGCTCTTGGCTTTCTTTCCTCCCTGGAGGTTTGCTGGGCCAGCCTCTGGTGGACATCAAATCCTCCATCTTCGTAGAAAGTTGAGAAGAGCTAGAGGCCCAAGGAAATCACTCTTTTCCTCCCTCTTCATGGAACGTTTCTCTTTTGCTCTCCTTCTCCCTCCCCATCCACTCACACTCCCCCTGGGCCACGTCCTCCTCACACATAAGGGTGTGGACGCCACGGAAAGAATGCTGGGTTTAGACACAGAGGCCTCGTGCTCACTTCCTGTCTAAAAGACTGTGGGCAACTGCCCTAATCTCCCTAAATCTCAGTTTACTCATCAGGAAAATAGGGTTAATAACACCTCCCCTCCCTACCTCACAGGGGTTTGGGGGGGTATTAGATGAGACAACTTGGGTGAACTGGCTTGGCCAAGCCTGCAAAATAGAATGTATTATTTCAAGAGCATTAACGCTTAGTCACGGCTGCATCTTAGGTCGACTTGAGTTGCAGCAGGGAGAAGGCGGACAGAAGGGAATGGAGAGGGGAACCAAGGAAAGAGATACATAGCATGGGAAGGAATTCGGGGAAGACTCCCTTTCCTCGATCTTCAGCCGGTCGCCAGTAGGCTGGTGCAGGTAGTGCATTTTCTGCTAGACACCAAGCTCCGTGCGATCATTATGGTTCTCGACAGACAGCAGAGTCAATTTCTCGGTCCTGCCGAAGCCCCACACAGCCCCCTTTATGATCTGGGAAGAGCGGGAATAAAGCCGAGGCCAGCACACAAAGCAGTCATATTGGAAGGAGAGAGTGAAAGATGATGCCTGAATGGTAAATGAATCTAACAGAAAATCCACAGGAGGCCGAGGAAAAGCAGAGACTAAATCCAACAAAGTTGTTCAGCAGAGGACGTCAACAAAAGGCCACTTAACTGTCACCGGCGATTCTCAGAAGCCCCCCTCCCCATCCATCCTTTCCCAGAATGGCCAATTAACTGGCCATGTGTGCAGAGAGGGGAGCTCTTTTATTGACAGAATGCCCTGCTCCCACACCCCGCCGGACCTACTCCATTATTTTGTGGTTCAGCTGTTCAGACATGCCAAACTCTCCTAGAACCCTGGCTTTGGGAACTCTCAGACAGAAACATTAGCAAAGGGTTTAAGGACCTAGAAAAGAAAGCAATTAGGCTTTCCACCCAAGTAACATTCAGCTTTAGTAGACATAGGAATAAAAGAGTGTACTAGTAAACAATAGCTCAGGGATTTAAAAGAAAAAAAAGTGGGATGGTGCTAGTCACCAAAAGTACCCAGCATCTTCTTGTTCAAAAGCATCATTTAAGTCACTAATAATAAGACAACTATCCCTGTCTTTTTGGTTTAGGGGTGGGGAGAGAGGGAGAGAGAGAGAAAGATCGAGAGCAAGAGCAAAAAAGAAAGAGAGAGAAAGAGAGAAGGGCACTTCAGAATTCTTGAGAACTCTATGGCAGCCCTTCCGATAGAACTTTCTGTGATAATGGAAATGTTCTATGTCTGCACTGTCCAATGGGATAGCCACTAGCCACTTGAAATGTGGCCAGTGTGACTAAGGAATTGAATTTCTTATTCTATTTAATTTTAATTAATTGCAGTAATTTACATAGCCACATGCGGCTAATGGCTATCACATTACACAGCAGAGTTCTGTGGGAATTCACCAGCCCTACGGCAGTACCTCCAATGGCTGGACTAGGAGCAGAGACACACAGCTCTGCTTGACTTAATACCTAATATTGGCTTCTCGCTCAAAATTCATTATTCATCTAATCATTTACTCAATAAATGTCTACTGAATATTTGCTATGTGCCAGGCACTTGCCAAGGTGTGGGAATAAAACAGAGAGCAATAACAGACCTGGCCCTTAGATTTCTAATGGGGTAAGTAGACAATTAATTTAAAGAGCATGCAATAACTGTAAAAATATAGCTGGTGTGTGTGCTACAGTATGCCATGAGGAGAGGTACCATGGACTCCATACAGACTGAGGACACGGAGTTTTCTGAAAGAAGTTCTGTTGGAGGACTTTTACCTCCTGCAGGTGGGGGGTTTAGATGCCCCAACAATCCTGCCCACGTGAAACAACTAAAATGCTGGATAACATATTTTTAGTAACTCTTAAAAGGCATCACTGAGTTGGCATGAGAGTAAGAATCTACAGATCTCAAAAAGGAATAAAAGCCAGACACCTGAATGGTAAACAGATTTTCCCCTGGAAGAGTTCTCTCAAGCCCAGTTCCTGATCTTCCTCCTAGGAGAATATACCTAGGATCTAGGGTCATTTTCCTTCTGCTCAAAGTAGATCTTTTGAAATTTTCCTTTAGTGATGTTCTCTGTTTTTATTTGTTTGAAAGTTTTTGTTTTCCTTTCATTTTATTTATTTATTTATTTATTTTATTTGTCAGAGAGAGCACAAGCAGGGGGAGCGGCAGACATAGGGAGAAGCAGACTCCCCGATGAACAAGGAGCCTGATGTGGGGCTCAATCCCAGGACCCTGGGATCATGACCTAAGCCAAAGGCAGATGCTTAACCGACTAAGCCACCCAGGTGCCCCTCATTCTTTCTTTTTCCCCCCTTAGGATTTATTTATTTATTTGGTGGGAGGCAGGGAGAGAGCACAAGTGGGAGGGATAGGGAGAGGGAGAGAGAATCTCAAGCAGACTCCGTGCCGAGTGCAAAGCCCGAAGTGGGGCTCACTCGATCTCATGACTCTGAGATCATGACTTGAGCCAAAACCAAGAGCGGGACAGTGAACCGACCCCACCACCCAGGCACCTCTATTTTGCTTTCATTCTTAAAATAGTTTAACTGGGTATCCATTCCAGGTTGATTATTGTTTTACTCTCAGCACATTGGAAACATCTCCCACAGTCTCCTGGCTTCCATTTTTACTGTTAAAATATAATTGATTAGTCTAGTCACTGTTCTTTAGCAGGTGATCTTTTCTGATCCCTGGTTGCTTTGAAGATCTTCTTTGTCTCGGATGTTCTGCAGTTTATCTTCGTGTACTTATTCTTCAGCTATCCCAAATAGATCTAGAGATGCAAAGTAATTGCAGTCAAAAGCCCAACAGTTCCACAAAACTTCACAAGCTGATAAAAATATATACGAAAAAACACAAACACACATCCTAAGAGTCAAGACAATTCTGAAAACAAAGTGGGAGGACTTTCTACATGACACATTAAAACATATTATAAAGCTATAGTAATTAAGACACTATAGTATTGGCACAGATAAATAGAGTGCAGAAACAAACCCAAGCATATTTGGAAACTTCCTTTTTTGCAGACTTGGCATAGCAGATCACTGTGAAATAGACAGACTATTCAATATATGTTTCTGGGATGATTGTAGATGTAGATGGAAAAAATGGAATTAAATCCCTATTGCACCACACATAAAAATCAATTCCAGGTAGATTAAAATGCTCACATGTATAAGGCAAAACTGTAACACATTTGGAAGACAATATAGAGAATATTTTCTGAAGTTGGGATGGGGAATAATTTTGGTAAATAAGACATAAGGAAAAAAAGAACATAAAGGTTCCCATAAAGGGCAAGATGGATAAAATCAACAAAATTAAATTAAATTTTAAGAACTTCTGTTCTTAAGATCCTTGACAGAGAATAGAAAGCCGACTTCAGGGACGCCTGGGTGGCTCAGTAGGTTAAGCGTCTGCCTTCAGCTCAGGTCATGATCCCAGGGTCCTGGGATTGAGCCCCGCATCGGGCTCCCTGCTCGGCGGGGAGCCTGCTTCTCCCTCTGCCACTGCCACTCCCCCTGCTTGTGTTCTCTCTCTCTTTCTGTCAAATAAATAAAGAAAATCTTAAAAAAAAAAAAAGCTGACTTCAAACTGGGAAGACATATTTACAATACATAAAACCACTAAACTATTGATAACCGTGATATATAAAGAACATCTGTGCATTAATTTTTTTAACGAGTAAAACATATGCAAGGCCATTTCATAGAAGAGCACTCACAAGTGATCTCTCTCAACCACTCCTGGTGGAAGTTTAAATTGGTGAGATTACCACCAACAGTTGTTACCTAGTGAACTTGAAAAGGTACCGCATACCCTATGCCCTGACAATTCCACTCCCACCTATGCGGCCTGGAGAAACTCTTGCTCATGGGCACCAGCTATATGGACAAGACCAAACAAATGGAGGTGTAGTTGTATTCATACCGAACACAACAGAGTAGAGAAAAATGAACCAGCTGTAGCTGCATACATTCAGTGGACAAACCTCAGAATCATAAAGCTGAGTGAAAGGAGCAAAATCAGAACATACCATATGTTTCCATTTATATTATATTCACAAACAGGTAACACTCAACAATAGATTGTTTAGAAATATGTACACACAGGATAATTATAAGGAAAAAGAAGGAAATTATTAGCACAGATTAGTGCTTTCATCTGGAAAAGAGAAGGGAGCACAATGAGGGGCACATGCAGGCTTCTAACAGTGTCCTTCAGCTGAACAAGCAATAGTATTTTATTTTTAGCAGGCTATGGAAGACTCTCATATGTGTGATATACTTCACAATAAAACACATTTCAAAGGAGTTATGGGAAAGCTAAATTCTTATTTTTCATAGTGAGAAATCAATAGACAATGCCTAAAACAGAAAAATCAAAAAGGAGCAATATAAGCACCTTCCCTAGGTTTATGGATGTGAACGTCAAGACTAAAAGAATTCAATATGGTTGTCGCTGGAGAGCAAGACGTGGGAGGGAGGAATGAGGACTTGGCTGCTTTTTATAACAAGTCTTATAAAACTATTTGACTCTTTAAACACTGTACTGTATAACCGATTAAAATAAAAGTGAAGTTGAGAGAGCCTGGGTGGCTCAGTCAGTTAAGCGTCCTACTTTTGATTTCGGCTCAAGTCCTGATCTCAGGGTCATGAAATCAAGTCCCGCGCTAGGAGGGGAGCCTGCTTGAGATTCTCTCTCTCCCTTTCCCTTGGCCCCTCCCGCATCATCCTTTCTAAATGAATGAATGAATAGATAGATAGATAGATAGATAGATAGATAAATAAATGGCAGCATTTGACACCTAGAGCAGTCAAATGCACAGAGACAGAAAACAGAAGAGTGGTTTCCAGGGGCTGGTGGGGCAACCAAGGAATTAATGTTTTACTGGGATAGTTTTGTTGAGGAAGATGAAGAAATTCTGGAGGTGGACGGAACTGAGGGTCGCACAACAATGTGAATGTACTTGATGCTGCTAAACTGTACGCTTAAAAATGACAAAGTGGTCAATTTAACGTGATGCCTATGTTACCACACAAAAATACTGAGGCTCAAAAAGAGGTGCGATTTGAGCTGAGTTAGGTAAAGATAGGAAGGAGTTAACTAGCCAAGGCAGGGCGCGGAGGTTGCAGGAAATCTGATTCTTGCCCTGAATCCCTCTTCATTAAAGGTATTAATTCCCACTTTGGTTGGGGACCTCCCTGAGGGTCTCCAGAGATGGCATGAGGTGCTCCAATATTTACAAATAAAACCCCCAAACGAAATTATGTTTGATTTCCAAAAGTCCCCTTTGGGTGTTTAATGGAAATAAATATATCAAATGTAATTTTAAAACACAGGGAAACAAGAGTGTCATCATTCACATTACAAAAGGATTCTTTGATTAACAAGAGGATTTACCACAGTTTCTTAACATAGCCAGCTTCCCCCACTACACTCAAAATGTGATTTAATTAACAAAAAAACAGACTTATCCCACCTTCCAGAAATATGCCAGACAGGGGCTTTCCGAGGAAACCAAGTAATGAAAATCCAAGAAAACAATAACCCACCAAAAGGTGGTTAATGCTGCTCTGGAGTTTCCAAATCCACTTCATCGTTCAAAATCCCACCTTGGGGCCACCCCCCAGGGGAAGCCATAGCGAACGACCATATCTTCAGTTTAGCTGATCATGCCTTGTGCCTCCCTCCAGCATCACACACTGTAGATTCTGCTTGTTCGCAAGCATCAGTCTAACCATCAAACAATCCCCCTGTGGGCTGGGGCTGTGTCATCTTCACCCATGTGACCCAGGATCCCCGCATACAGCCCAGATCACTGCCCATGACCTACCTACCCATAGATCGATTTGCTGATTTCCTCATTCCAATGACTGCCCAAAGTTTGGGGAGATTGGAGAGCTTGGGGAGCCTGCCTCCTAGGCCTTCACCCCTGCCTATACCACCAGCTCTGTATCCATCCGCTCAGAGCTCCCAAATCTTTGCTCTGTTCTGCTCCCCATTTTTAGTTACTGGACTCCATTCCTACCACCCACAGCCAAAGACCTCACTTGGTGTCATCCTTAAGGGCAGCTTTCCAATACCAGGGTCTTGCCTTCCCCACCCGCC